AGAACCAATTATTTTAGTACATACGGCTATGTGGCTGCGAATTTCTGTATTAGAGGGGTTTGGGATAGGAGGGTACACTGTGGTCGAAGGGGGTTTCCGAAGTTGCGTTTGCACAGGATTTTACATGCTATGTTAATAACTCAAGCGTTAATAACTCTACTTGGCCCCAGGTAGAGGGCCAAGTTTAGTCCCAGAGTCCTGGTAACAGAACTGGCTGGACCATTTCGGCCCTTGCGAACTCCCGCCCTCCGTCTCTGTGTTCTTTCTGGGCGAGTTTGTCAGTGTCCCAAACCGTCCCCGCTTGAGGTCACAGTGCTAGGTCACGTGCTCGAGCCCGCGAGAGCGCCACATCGCCAGCCGCACCCCTCCACCCCCACCCTGCCCACGTGACCCGGCCTACTTTCTCCCCGCCCGACCCAACTCTTTGCTTAGGAAGCCCCGCCCTACGCAGAGCGCTAGACCTGCCAACCTCCGCCCCCCCATCCGCCCAGGCTCAAACGAGACCCGCGGACCCACGTGTTTCTTCCTGTCCAATGGGAGCAGGCGCCTGGGCGCGAAGGGGCGGGGAGGAAAGAACGACTTCGTTACGCTGCGAGAAAGGGGCGGGGCCTGTAACGTCGGACTGAACGAGGGGACGCAACGGAGGCAGGCCGGAGCCGCTGCCGTCGCCATGACCCGTGAGCACTGAGACCCCTTTGCTCTTGCCCTTTTCCCCCCGTCCACCAGAAACACGACTGCCGAATTCCAAGCATTGACTCCTCTTGGCTTCTGCAGCGAGGTCTTTTCCTGGGACCGCTCTTTAGTCACCCCTCACACTCGTAGCCCGGAAATCGGCCCTTTGCCCACCAGCACTTCTTGAGGAACACTGCCCCTCAACCCACGGTTCAGGCAAAGACTGCCCTCCCCGACCTTCCGCAGAAGTCCTGCGTCTTGGTGATAGGCCCAGAGCCCCCTACTCCAAATCTCAGCCCATCCCCCGCAGCGACCCAAACCGTTCACACACCACCACCACCTGTCTGGGTCCTCACGCCGCCCCGAAACTCGAAACACTCCTCCAGCAGGCTCATTTGGACCGTCTTCCCTCCACCCCTCAATTTGATCTGCCCCGTGGCAGGCAACTCGGTCCCCTCCACTCCCCAATTAGCAGCGTAGGCTGAGAGATGGGCTGGTGTTGGGGCCGGGAGAACTGTTAGACCCTACCGGTGTCTGGGTGAGGGAATAGGGTCGCCGGTGTGTGGCCGGAAAGGCCCCCGCGTCTCACCTTTCACCTTCTTTCTTTAGGCGGTAACCAGCGCGAGCTCGCCCGCCAGAAGAATATGAAAAAGCAGAGCGACTCGGTTAAGGGAAAGCGCCGAGATGACGGGCTTTCTGCTGCCGCCCGCAAGCAGAGGTAGCCCCTGGGAGGGGAGGGAAAAGGAGGGGTGAGACTTGGGTTAGACCAAGGGTTGTACTAGAAAAGAGAGCTACCTCAGGGTTTAACATCTGAACTAGTCGTGAGGGGCAGAGTACATTGCTTCCTCTAGGGTTTTGTTTCCTCCCCACGCTCCAAATTGTTAGTTCACTGCCTTACAGGAAGGGACCGGGGCGGGTGCCTGCCCTCTGTCTGATTTCTGAGTGCCCCTGGGTCTGACCTTAAAGGCAAGGTCAGGGAGATGCACATTTCGAATGCATTAGTGGTTATGACAGCCCTGTACTTTTGGTCCGCCTTGCTGTTCTCTCTCCTCCCTTCTCCCAACCTTCTCACTGGTGTTGCTGGGTGTGGTACTCAGCACAGAATAGCCTTGTGTGGCCAGACTTCTGACCCCTTGGGCAACAGCCAGATAGAGACTGATTGCCTTTTTTGAGCCTCAGCTCTCTTCCTCTTATTCTCCTAGGGTGGGAATACAGCAGCCACACGCTGAATTTTGTCCCATCCACTTCCATCTTATCCTTTGTGCCCTTCATCTCCCTGCATCTTATCCTTTTTGCCCTCTGGTACCTCCCAGTGCCCCATCATCTCTACCCCCAGGGACTCGGAGATCATGCAGCAGAAGCAGAAAAAGGCAAACGAGAAGAAGGAGGAACCCAAGTAGCTTTGTGGCTTCGTGTCCAACCCTCTTGCCCTTCGCCTGTGTGCCTGGAGCCAGTCCCACCACGCTCGCGTTTCCTCCTGTAGTGCTCACAGGTCCCAGCACCGATGGCATTCCCTTTGCCCTGAGTCTGCAGCGGGTCCCTTTTGTGCTTCCTTCCCTTCAGGTAGCCTCTCTCCCCCTGGGCCACTCCTGGGGGTGAGGGGGTTACCCCTTCCCAGTGTTTTTTATTCCTGTGGGGCTCACCCCAAAGTATTAAAAGTAGCTTTGTAATTCCTTGAGCGCCTGGTTTGAATGGGGATTTGGGGGGATGGGGATGGAGGAATGGCTGCCCTTTCCCACAAGAAAGGGAGAGAACTTTAGACTCTAAAAGGTTGTGGTTATTTAGACTAAGTGAAACATCACAGAAAATCCTTTATTATACTACAACAAACAGACAAGAACACTGGGTATGTGGCAGAGGAATCCTCTAAGAACCATAGGGACTTCTTTTCTATGATTTTTGTCCTCCACCCAGACCTTAAATACCATTCAAAGGATGGAGTTGAGGGCTTAAGGAAGGCTCCAAGACCTAAGTTTATACCCTTCTTCCTCATTTCTTCCTCAGTTTGTTCTCCTGCTTGAAAGTTGGCCCCCAGATCCTTCTGTTCACCAACTTTGTATGGTCAGCTGCTTTCAAGTGTTCTATTCTCTTATGTCATTCCTCATGGAATGAAGGTGGTTTTTGTCTTCCCACTTCCTTTGACCTTAAGATCAGGTTTAAAACCTAGGGTAGTCTCTGTGCTCCTTTCTTCCTGTGTCCTGGTTTGTTCTAGTGTCCTGGGCTTCTTACATCCCTGTGCCCAGGGCTGAACTGTTTGTTTCTTTTTATTTCCAAGGGCAGAGCCAAGTAAGTCTTCAGTCCCTGTTTGTCTTTCCCTGCCCCCATCTCTACCATGAGAGCCAGGAAAGGGCTGGTGCCACACTGTCTGCTGGAATCAGCAGTGGTTCTTGAGTTGCTGACTTGGGAGTTAGGCTCTTGAACGGGGGTGAAGGTATAACAGTAGATCTAGTGAGTCAGACAGTTGCCTAGGACATGGTATATGTGGCCACTTTTTCCAGTTCAGACATAGTATTGACTTCAGCCTAAAGGAAGGTAACTGCCCGTTGTGTTGTTGAGGTATTTGCTGGTCTGGACAGCTCCCTTGAATCATGACTAGGGGTATAACCTCAAGGGAACTCCAGTTTGTTAAAAGTACCTAGACTGGATGTTTATTATCTGATGATACTGATACGATGGCAATGTTGCCTGAAGATAGGAGGAGGCTTGGGTTCCTGGGTGGGTGACCAACAGAGTGGTGCCAGTAACAGCCCTAGGTAGAGGAGTACACAGGCCCAACATGAGGCAACTTTGACCCAGAAGGTAGCCCAGCTACCCTTGGTGAAGGTCTTTTCCAGTTCTGCTCCCTCATAGCTGTGGAACCAAAGTCTGTGGTTAGAGAATATGCTGGGCCTTAGGATTTAGACCTGTTCTACCTTCCCACCAAAGACTGGCAGACTTACACGTGTCTCCTGAGAGTCCTTGGGACTGGTCTTGAATTGCTTTTTCCCTGAAATTGCTAGGTTTCCAGGAGAGTATGCCAGGCCAACATCCTACCTGAACCAGTTGGTGAGGGTAACCATGACATAGAGTGAAGCAAGGAAGAAGACGAAGTGGAAGGCAGAATAGCTGTAGGAAAGGTGCTGGACTTGCACTGGAGGAGCTGGAGAGGTCTCTTGGTCAACTGGCCTGGCAGCTCCCTTTTGCCCTGAAGAGAGGGAAGGGCTGCTGGGCACAGTGCTGCTGAAATACCTCTTCCCTTTTCCTCCTCCTCCAGCTTCTTTTGTTAAGACACTTAAGGGCTCTTTTGCACTGTAGAAATCTACACTTTCTTATGGATCCTAACTTGACACTCACCTTCCTCTGGCTCCACTGTTTCAGGGCAACAGAAACAGAGTGATGGCTTCTGTAAAACAAAAGGCAGCATGTTTTGGACTGATTTCCAAAAGAGTGTGAGGGTATTAATATAGGAAATTCCCCTTCTTTGAAAAGATTAGTTTGATGTAAGAAGTGGAGGCACATGTGAGTTCAAATGCAAGCTCTAGCATATATCTGGCTATGGGAACTTTTGTTTAATCTTCTGTGCCTCAATTTCTCCATTTGTAAAATGGAGCAAATACCTACCTCACAGGGTTGTTGTGAGGATTACATTAAATGAGATTATGTATGTAAAGTATCTAGCACAGTGCCTAGCACATTGTGGGTACTCAATAAAAGGTAATGGCAGCTAGAATCTGAGCTTTCTGGGGTAGAGGTTGGTAGGATGTGTGTGTGTCTGTGTCTGTATGTGAGGAGGGAGGGGCACTGGGGATTATTGAGCTCTCCATTCTCACCTGAAACTCATATCTGTAAACTTTGATGATCCACAAGGGCCCAAATACCTCAGCCAGGTAGGAAGCCTCATTGCTGAGAAAAAAGAATATAATTCTCAAGCAGGTCCAGTCAAATAGCGGTGGGATTGCCTGAGGGTATTTACTGCCCGCTGGTCCATATTGGTAACTCGCAGGAGGGTATTGTACTCCCAGAACCCCTTTCCTCCCAGAACTTAGAAATCTTTTCATGTGAGGGCCCTAAAAATCTGCATATATTTTTAATTCCCAAGCCATTCCCCCAACCCCCTTCATACGGATCATCTGACAAATGCTATTCTTAGAAATTGTTTCTGTTCATGGGGAGCTTTCCTCTTCTCTAAAGTTTAAATAAACATAGTCTCAGACAATCTGACCATCCCTCTTTGTTCTGGGCACCTCCCTTTCTCACACTTCTTCCCGATGCTTTTACGCACCAAGCAAAAAGCACACAAGCATACATGATGCCAGTACTCATCACTGCCAGAGTAGTATCTGGTGTTTGGGGTTCCATTTTATACAGGCCAGGCAGGCACAGAGTGTGATTTTGTCCTTGAAGGATTACTGAGATGGGATAAAAGAAGAGAAGGATGGTAAAAACAAAGCTAGGTATTTGGCAGGAGCAAAAATGTTTTAGTGTGGGGAGTCCAGATCCTGTCCTTACTGCTCTCTGGAGGACGGCTGGACAGTGCAGAGAAGGTCAGGTACATGATATAGCAGCTGATGATAGAGGCTTGTAGAAGGCCAGAGCGGGGTTGCCCTGAAAAGAATGGGGATCATTGATTTAGTCAGCAGAGTAGTAATTTCCTCCATTCTTACCCCCACCCACACTTCTGTCTCCCCACCCTTTGAGGAAGCAAAGAATTGACTGAGATTAGGGAGGCTAATGAAATTTGCTATGCTATAGGTCCCCCAAATCTGGAATGTTGCAAGGCATGTACCCACTGAGGCGGATGCAAGGAGCGATGGAGAGGAAGGAGAGGAGGCCACAGAAACAAAGGTGCAGACCAAGCAGCATCTTGTTGAGCAGGCAGCCAGCTGGGTGTGTGTAGTGGTGGAACAGGAGCACTGCTGCCACAGCTGCCATGCTGTAGAATCCTAGGGTGGCCAGTAGCATGGCTAGGAACCAGCGGCAGTCATTTGCTGCACCTGTCTGCCTAAAGATGGGAATTTGGCAATGGCTTGGGGTCCTCTCTTTTCTTTTTACCCATTACTAACTACATCCCTCTCCCAGAAGACTGGTGTGACTACCTGTCCCACCTGGCCCACAAGGCCATCACATTCCTGAACTTTTGTATTATTATTACTTAAAAAAAATTTTTTTTTACGCCTACAGCACCTGGTATTCCTCAGTGGTCTCCCATCCAAGTACTAACCATGCCCAACCCTGCTTAGCTTCCGAGATCAGACAAGATCGGGTATGTTCAGGGTAGCATGGCCAAAGACCATTCCTGAACTTTTTTGTTACTGCTCAGTGGGAAGGTATGGGACCATTGACCTGTTATGTCCTTTGCCCATACCTCTGTGTCTAACAATGTCAGACAACCTTTAGGGTTATGTGCTCCTTACCAGTTCTTATTCCAGGAGTGGGCAAAGGCTGTGATAAGCACCAACTGCAGCAGGATGAATATGAAGCCTCCGCAAATGCCAATGTAATGCCAGGCTGCAAGTGGGGTACCAGTGGGAAAATGTAGCCAATCATATTATTACTCCTGGTCCACTTCCTACCCTCTCTTTTTCTTAGAAAATCTTTTAGCCTACTCTTGCTGATTAGGATGTGAGATGGAAGGTACCTGGGAAGAAGTGCTCATCAGGGACACAGAAGGCAACAGCACAGAGACCCAGCAGGAACAGCAGCTTGAGGAACCAGAAGCTGGTTAAGAGGGAAAGAAAAGCAGACTCAGAAGAAAAGGCAAAGGAGAGTGAACAGTGCCTATGGAGGAAGGAAAAGAGAAAGCAAAACTATAGGGGAGAGAAGATACAACTAAGCATAAGAAAGGAGGAACCAGTCCCTTGTGAGAGGGGCTGGAGGCAGGCTGTCACAGCCTATTCCAAATTCTCTTAGGTACCTAAATAGCATCTGGACAGTGTTTTACTGTTGACAGAGGTTTCACATATAATAACCCCACTGTGATCTCCATTTCAGAAACTAGAAGTTCAAATAGGATAAATGGTCCTACAGCAGGTATGTCAGAAGCAGGGACTTAAACTTTTCTTTTTACAGTGCTATTACTTGATTTTGGAATTTCCTTTACTAAGCTTATGTCTACTTCCCTCTCCATCCTCTTCCCACCCAAAGAGTACACACAAACCTATTATGCAGCTGTGCCCGGAGGCTAGTAGGGGAGTGGAGGTGGACCAGCAGCATAGCCTGCAGTAGGTGGAAGGTGGCAGTTCCTGCGCATACCCGATACACAGCCCCAGAGCCACTGAGCACTGGGCAGTGAGACTGGCCAAACAGATGGGCACACAACCCTGAGGGCATCTGGATCTGGAGAAAGGGCAAGTCATCATTCATAAAGAGGTACCTACTTCTCACAAGTATATTCACTCATTTGTCCCTGGCCCCCAATCTGAATCTCTTGTCACTGCAACCCAACCCCTTCACACTTACCCCATGTACCTTGCCCCAAACTCTCTCCACTACTGTCCTTGACAGCAGCAGGCAGCAGACTGCTGAGGCCCCTACATGGAGGAGGATGTAGAACAGGCGGCTATAAGTGGCTTCTGTGAGAGAAGGCCACCTACAATGGCAGCAGCAGGTACAGGGAACAGGCCCACAGCAGGACACCTGGGGGTAGAGCAGATGCAGAGCAGCAAGGTAGAGATTTGCTGAGATTAATGTACGTGTGAAGTTAACCCATTAGGCTGAATTCCAAAATTTCCCCTTCCCTTTCCTTCTCTCTTTTTACTCAGAAATTCTCAGAATGTCTGATACCAAGTTATTTAGGAGTGCCTTCCACTACCATCAAGTAGAGCTTTCATCACTAAGAGTTTACCTGCAGGCTTGAGCAGACCTTCAAAAAAGCCTAAATCAGACCTGGCCTCTAACACTCCCTATACCTAAACATGGTCCTGGAAATATGGAAGGAGAGGTTTAGTAAATGATAGTCTTAGAGACAAAGAAGACAAACCTCATGGGGGGAAGGAAGAGCCTCATGAGGGGAAGGAAGACATTATTTTTATTGGCTCCCATGGGTTCCCCAGCTTCAGCCACCATTCCTTTCCACTTTATCAGATAGCTCTTGGTCTAGGGAGCTTTCAGGCCTCTGCCCAAATCTCTCACCTGATAGGAGGGAGGATTCACTATGACACTGCTGACTCCACTGCGTTGCTGTGTCAGGCGTGGGGTGGTGCTGGGGCCTGCAACGGCCTTTGCGCCCACCATTCTTGTCCCAGGGATTATGCCCAGGTCCACCAGATGGAAGATGAGAAGGTAGCAGCTCTTTTGTCCTCAGCCCATTGGGCTGCCGCTGTGCTGAGACTGGTCACCCAATCAATCTAACTAAGGTAGAATGGGAGGGAAATCAGTAAAACACGGACCTCCAGGATGTGGTAAATGCAAATTTCCCTGTGATACTACTTTCTCCCCAGGGCCCTTGGACCACTGAAGCCGTTCTAGCCTGATTAGGCAGCAGTTTGCATATGTGGCCTCCTGTGGATTAGCATTCTTAATTGGTTTAGGATTAGACATCACCCATCCTGGTTGAACAGAATTCCTTGAGAGTGTGTGTGTGTGTGTGAGTGAGAGGGTGATGGTGGGAGGGATCTAGGTAAAGAGGAGGGAAGGGTGTCGACTGGGAAGGTCTGGAGTGGTGACAGGCTAGGTATGGGAGAAGGCCTTGCAGAAAACAAAACTACAAGCCCCAGAGTCTGAGAAGCGAACCGCTTTCCTCGCTGAAGCTTCTAGAACCGAAGCATTAATGAAGGTGTGGCCCAGGGTCAGCCCCGCCTCCTCCCAGAGCGGACGTTGTGGGGCATTCCGGAAGTTGTGAGGCGGGGCGGTGTCTGTGCGGCAGCGCGGTGGGGTCGATATGGCGACCGAGGGAGATGTGGAGCTGGAATTGGAGACTGAGACCAGCGGTCCGGAGCGGCCTCCTGAGAAGCCGCGGAAGCACGATAGTGGTGCTGCAGACCTGGAGAGAGTCACCGACTATGCAGAGGAGAAGGAGATCCAAAGTTCCAATCTGGAGACGGTGGGTTGGCCGGGAGCATGTCTGGTCGGGCTGAGAGCAGAGGGGGCTCCGAGGCTGTAACCAGAAGCCCCGCTCCAGGATGGGGTCCCGATGGTGGGAGGAGGCAAGAAGAGGGACACCGAACCATCACTAGAGCCCATAGCTTGCAAAAAGGAACTCGCTGGAGATTGGGTTTAAAGTGGGCCGCAGGAGCCGAGAGTTGAATTAAACAGACCTTGGGTTCCTGATACACTCGTCATTGTGAATACACACCTGACCCACTTGTTAGTGGCTTTTTAGATGATTTGGAATTGTGGGTTGCAGAGCAGTAACTAGATCTGTCTTTCCCATAGGCTATGTCCGTGATTGGAGACAGACGTTCCCGGGAGCAGAAAGCCAAACAGGAGCGGTAAGTCTGCATGCAGCCAGACATACCAATTCCTCTTTCCCCCGACAAAAATAAAATCAATCGTTAAGCCTTTGTACCTTATACAGTTCTTCAGCTCCATCACCAGTTCCCATATATCTAAGGTTTACAACTTTATTCTTGTTGGTACACGGAAAGGCCTCTTGGCAACACCTGCTGCCTCTTGTAAAGACTTCAGGGGAAAAGATGAGAATGTTGCCTGAGGGGGTGGGAGTCGTTTTGTGTTTTCACTGAACAGTGTTTATCAAGAGTCATTTATTTGCAAGGCACAGCTGGGGATGATCCTTTCTGGGAGTTTACGGTGGAGGTAAGGGCTAATGCACATTAATTATTTGTAGGGAGAAGGAACTGGCAAAAGTCACCATCAAGAAGGAAGATCTGGAGCTCATAGTGAGTAGTGATGCCTAAATAGTATATGGGCAGGGGAGGTTACTTTGCTTAGTTTGGGTTGTTTCCTGAAAAATTAGAGTCATCATGTTTTGGTGGCACATTAATGCCAGGGAGAAGGCTTAGGTAACATCATTGATCCTTTATCTGCAGATGACAGAGATGGAGATCTCACGAGCAGCAGCAGAGCGGAGCTTGAGGGAACACATGGGCAACGTCGTAGAAGCTCTTATTGCCCTTACCAACTGATTTGTGCTTTCTCAGACCCATCCACTGGATTAACTTATTGCAATAAAAGTCTTTTTTTTTTTTGCAGTTTTATCATTTTGGGTCAAGTGCAATGTATATTATGTTGTATTGTAGGAAATTTACTTGTTGGACTATAACCAAATTTAAGTGACCCCTTACACACCAGTCTTTAATGAACCTATGTAAAGTATCGTCAGTGTAGAAGAATCTCCTGATCAGATGCAGATGCTAGGTGGCAGGTCAGGCTCAATCATCAGATTAGATGTTATGCAACAGTACTGAAGGAATATCTGGAGTCTCAACAAAGGTACTGTACCCCAGAGCATATGTCCCTAGAGTAGCTTATAAATAGCCAAAAGGCCAGTACCTGCCTAGGAGTCAGCTGTATATAGATGTAAGTCACCAATCCAGTTCATAAGCCACTTTGAGTTACAACTCAGGTACCTGAGGTGGGAACATGGTAAGAATAATAGAAGATACCAAAGTTTAGGTCTTCTATAGAATTAATCTGAAAGGTTTTGATTGATGGAATTGATTTTAATATTTAATTCTGAACCACAACACTGATACCTTACATTCCATTTCCTATCCTGGAGAGGATACATTTTAAAAGTTGATCAACTTTGGCCAAGTTACTCTTGCCGAGCTTGTTTCATGAATTCTAAAATGATATGTATCTGATAAGTTGTTGTAAGAATTGAACTGGTAATGTTAAAAGCTTGGCCTAGACCCTGCCTTTGAGCAGACACTAAAATGACAGCTATAAACTTTCCCCAAAGAATTTCAAGCTCTTATTCTCATTTTGGCTCTAGGATAATTCTTAGATTGTATCCCCCCTCTGGTACAACAGTGACATATTCATCTTTATTACCTCAGTAATTAATTGCACTTGTACTTTTAATTCTGGGACTTACAAGGATGTACGACTGATTTTCCTAGTGGGGCATTTAAAGGATGTGAAAAAAAACCTTGGCCTTCTCATTTTTTCATGCAATTGAGAAGTAGCCTTCCTGCAGGTTAAATGTCATTTCTTATAACCCCTAAGACTCCTTGAGCTCTGCCATGTGCATAGTTGTCATACAGTAAATAGTAAATGGAAAAATCATGAACTCTAGCATATCACTACATTGCAACTCAGAGAGCACTGTGCCCTCCTTGCTATATCAGCTGGGCAAAGATACTGTTAGGTACTTGGGAGTCCTCATTTCATGGGTCAACTTTTGTTCCATATAAAGCTACAGTTTACAAACAAGGACAACCACATATGTATTTGCTCATGAAATAAATCTCGGTGCCATAAGAATACAGTTTGTCTAGTGTCTTGAGTTTGCTTCTGAGATCCAAGGGGATGATCAAAATGAAATGCTGTTTAGCAATTCCCTGCTGACTTTATTTTAGTTAATAGGTAGATACCTGTCAGCTTGCATATTTCCAGTATCAAGCTAAAATGTCTCTTGGTATGTGATTCTTTTATTTCTTGACATATATATAAATGGATCAAACAGTATGTTCTTAGAAAAACTGACTCCAGCTAAAAATGCAAAACAGGTTACACTGAGCTTAGAATTTCCTGTAAGGTGGAAGTAGCACACTGTCTACTTATATGCCAATGTTTCTGACCCAAGCTAAGGGGCTGGAAAAATAAACTTGGCATAGTCCCCAAGTGAATTTGGGAAGCCAGAGTAATGGTGAAATCTAAGATTTCTCAAATAGTTTTTCAGAAATTATCAGGGAGCCTCTAATCCTACCTGGATAGTGCTTTTTTGTAGGTTTCTCAGTGTGAGTCCACACCCCACAAAGCACCTTCAAAGACTGGGTTGCCCAGTGTCAGAAGTATGGCAGTATGTCCAATAGGCTGGATACTGGGGCCATGTAGATAATGGTAAAAGCAAATCAAGGACCAGATGCTGAGACTTCCCCTTGTGTCCCATAGCTGGAAGAATAAGTTGAATTTTAAGTAGTTTTCCTCTTCTTGGCAGATGGCCGTTCAAATACGTCTCGTACCCCAGCTGCCTTTTGTTTAAAGAACTTTGTGTTCTGGGCACTCTCTTGGCCCCATGCTGAATCAAAGGAGGTGGTATCTTGATCCACAAGGTGGGTGTACTTGGTACGACCAGAGCGCCCAAAGTTTTTAACCTGAGGAAAGGACAGATGATGAGTTATACTACCAAATGTATCATGTACTAGCCCTCAGTACATTACTTTTCTCTCATGTTGTTAAGGTACCCCATACCTGCATGACTTTGGGGAGAATGGTTTTGTTGAAATGATCTTCTAGGGTAGGTGCACTGAAATCTCTCTTGTATACTTCTTCATCTTCATCCTGTAGAAGGAGAGTCTTATCAATTTTTTGGTTTTATTTCCCATATATTCAAATAAAAAAATTATTAAACTAAACAAGGGATATAAAGAACGGGGGATGGGAGATATTGAACTTTTTCTTCAAGAGTTTATGTCTAGTTGAGATGATACTCCTTTTTTCTTTTGTTGTCTTTTCTTCCTAAGGGGAGATATTTCCTGAAGTTTGGCTATATTCTGTCTGCACTCAATATATTCATTCACTTACTGTCTTTAACTATTATAGGCCTTTGAAATCTGATCTTGAATTTCCTATTGCCCACTATATATCTTAGCTTGGGTATTCTGCTGGGATTTCAAAAACATTTAAAGTGAAAATCATTTCCCCAATCTTTCCAAATCAGCCTCTTCCTGATTTCACTTTTTCTGTTAATAGGACCAACATTCCCATAATTAGATTCAAAGTTTGAGTAATCTGTGCACATTCAACCAGTTGCCACTTTTTATAAATTTTTCATCACCTGGATTATAGTTATCCCCTGCAATCAATCTTACGCACTGCCAGTTGTTTCTAAAATACAACTCTCTTATATCTCTACCTTGCTCAAAAATTTCCAGTGGTTCTCTATTTTATTAAACAAGCACAACTCTGTGTAGTAATTAAGGCCAAATACTATATAGCCTTAATCTATCTCTCTGCCACTTCCCTTAACAGATAATACTTTTCTGCCTCTACTCCTGGTCCTTTCAACTGGAATGTCTTCCTACCACTGAATGTCATAAAGTCTATACATTAAATGTTACCCTCCTTTATATCATTTTTTCCTATCTTCTACCAAATATATCTCCCTCTTCAGAAGTTCCACAGTACTTTTCACTTTCCTTATGTTACAGTATATATTTGCTTTAGCTCTATTTTTAGATTGTAAGCCTTCTAAGAGTAAGGATTATATATCTGCTAGCAGTGCTATACAGTAGTATCCTACGTACAATAAAAGCTCAAAAGGTAATTTACTAATGAACTACATAAAATAACTATAAAGAATAGTTCCGAATTAACCTATTAGTAAGACTATAACGATAAGATAAAGATTATAAACGTGCTGAAGCAATTAAAATAGTACTACTATGGTTAAGGAAAGCTTCATGGAAGAGCTGAGTCATTTAACCCAGGGGCCGTGGACTGGTACCAGTCTGTGGCTTGTTAGGAACTGGGCTGCACAGCAAGAGGTGAGCAAGCAAGCGGAGTTTCATCTATTTGCCCCCGCTCCCCAGCACTAGCATCACCTGCCTCAGCTCCACCTCAGATCATCAGGCATTAGATTCCCATAGTAGCACCGGTCCCTGGTGCCAAAAAGGTTGAGGACTGCTGCTTTACTCAAAAACACTTTTGGAGTATTCCTTTCCCTTCAGCTATGGAAAGGTCCAATTTAAAGACAGGATAATTCAACAGTTTTTGTGAGATCTACTTTTCTACTGTTACAGCCTGAGAGTCCCTCTTTTAATCTCAGAAGCCATTTCAACTTCACTCTCCTTGTCTAGATGAGAAGATTCAATTTATAGGATGTGCACCAAAAGACTTTCAGATAAACCTTATGTTAGCTAGCCAGCAACGCATTGCTTCTCTAAGAAGCTTGATTATTGAAGCTGCTGAAATGCTAAAGCAATGATACTTTATGACTTTGAAACAGTACAAGAAGTAATTCATAATCTCCACCAACTCCAACTTAGAAAGCTGCATTGGCTGGGAAGCTACATAAATAAGCAAACATTTCCTGTTGAGCAGACAGACTGAAACTGATTTTGGAGAGTAAAGAATCCTGCACTGAAGTTATTAATTTTACTGGTATCTGCAGTCAAAGGAACTTAGCTGCAGTGGGGATATTTAGGGTTTGATATATAACATTTGAAAAGCTAGTCTAGGTTTTGATACAAATGCCTTTAACATTAGGAAATAATTTAACAAACCACATGCTATTAGAGTAATAAATGCAATCAATGCTCCCATTCCTTTTCCTGCTATCTCTATTAAGGAATTACCACTGGCACTAATCCAAATAATTTGGAATAAATCTCACTTTATACATACAGGGTTAACAGACTATTTTGATCTTGGTCTTTATATGAAAAAGGTGGCATTACACAAAATGGTTAGATAATTAACCATTTTTTTTTTTTTTTTTGGTTAGTTAGGCTTGGTCATTTTCTGTCAGCTCAGGATGAAGTGAATTAAATTTCTGCTATCCAAATCTGAGTTCATGTGAAGCTACCTGTAGAGCTTGGTTTTCACATAACCAAAATTTCTCACTCAGCTATAATTAATGATATGTAAGTGATTTTGGGGCCCTAAATAGTGTAGCATCTATATAGATCACTACCTACATTTCAGTTCCTCAATTCTTATGTTACATCATTTCCTCCTTCTGGGAGCTGAGGCAAAAGAGAAAACAGTTGCTCCGACTTTTAAAATCCTGTTGCCAATATTTTTCTCTAGAACACCCCAGAACCAGTTTAATTTTGGGGAGAAATTCAAAGCGTCTTGAGTTATTCCTACTGCCCAATTTTCCCTTTTCACTTCTTACCATGAAGAAGGCGCCCCGGTGATAATACTTCTGTAAGAACTTATATTTGCCCTTAACAGCTTTGTTGGTAATGACTTTGCCATTTGCCCGAAGCTCAGCTCTCCTCTCTTCTTCAGTCAGGTTTCGCATCCGTTCAATTTCTGCTTTCTCCTTTTCAAGCCTGTCCAGAGAACAAAACTATTAGTATCATTCCGGCTTTGGAAAGACCCCATTATTGGAAATAACACAGTCCCATCTCCTTTCAAACATTATTCATCTTCTTTGATTCTAGTCATTGACTGTTAGGAATCAAGATCAGGAGCTCAATAAATAAAAATGTGAGGTGGTCTTCATTATGCTTTCAAGACCAGGTATTGCTAACTTCCAAAAGTTGATTCTAGCTTTTTTGAGGTTTAGACATACCGTTACTGCTTGATTTTGCGCCATTACTAATTCCCATTCTCTAAAAAGCCTCTTAGCTTTAAAAAAATTAGAATTTAAAATAAGTGTGTAAGACTTTACTGGTATTCTTTTAGTAATCATATTTGTGCTTACATGTCACAAACCAAGGATCACCATCATTAATTAGACTGCAGCGACTTTAACTTTTGGGGAGCAGGGGTTACAGATCACCTTTCTCTAGAAAAATGTAAATATACACATTATTTTGCATACAATTTTAAAGGGTATAGGGACTCCATGAAACCCAGAATAAAAGCCTAAAAAACTGCAGGCTGAGGAGAGTTTTCCATTGATAGTTTCCCTTTGTAATCTGAGATTACTCTTCCATTCCCAGTTAATTTTCAGGAATGGGTGATGCAACTCAGAAATGATTCTGCTTTAACATGGTAAGTATGGTAGATAAGTCAAATGCCACAAATTCTTCCCATACAATATGCATGCCCCTTTGCAGAAATGAGCCTCAAAACATCTTGTTGCCCTCTTAGAATGCTGTCCCAAGACTGTTATGTAAGGAAGCCAGTCTAGCCTACTGAAGACGGAGAAGTGAGGCATCCCAGTTGACAGTCAGCATCAACTACCAGACATGTGAGTGAAGTCATTTTGGACTTCCTAGCCCAGTTAGTCCTTCAACTGGATGCAACTGCATAAGAGAACCCAAGTGAAACCAACAGTGGTACTGTTTGGCCAACCAAAATTGTGAAAAATAATCAATTGTGTTAAGTTGCTTAATTTTGGGTTGGGTTGTTAGGCAACAGTAGAAAACTGATAATAGTAACTTTTGTGAGTCTACTAGTAAAATAAAGGTAGTATTAGCTGGTGCTCTTTATCATGGAGAAACCCTGAGTTTATTGTAACAGCCACATTCCAATTACAGGAAACTTGCCCAGTTGTAGGGACCCTAAAGAAAGCTAGAATGGAACTCACAGCAGGAGCTGAGCCTCAGAGCTACTCTATAGGAACCTGGCCCATGAGCAGTATTAAA